TGTATGTATATATATATATATATATATATATATATATATATATATATATATATATAATATATAAACTATAAATATATATGAAATATATTCCTGTTATGGAAAGGCTGAATTTACAGCAACCATTACTTCCGTCTTCAGTGTCACATGATCCTTTACAAATCATTCGAACATGCTAATAATAATATTTTTGTGGAAGCTGTGCTGTATATTTTTTTCTTCATGATTTTTTGATGAATAGAAAATTCAAAAGAACCGCTTTTTTGTAGTAGAACTCTTGTTATACTATAAATGTATTTACTGTCACTTTTGATCAAATTAATACACCTTTGCTGAATGAAAGTATTAATGTCTTTCAAAAAAAAAAGCTCACCCAAACCTTTTAAATTGTACAGTAGTGTATATGAAATAATACGCATGCTTGTGGATTATGCCTGTGACGATATGAAAGTGTTTAAGTGTAACCTTGGTGACTCTCACCATACAGGATGTGAGGTTTAGATGTTTTTGTGTGTTAATGCTCTGTGTTTTATTGTCACCTGCGCAGGCAGCAGTAGTGAGTGCGTTTGCGCAGACCCTGCGCCGCTACACTTCTCTGAATCACCTGGCCCAGGCAGCGCGAGCCGTCCTGCAGAACACGTCCCAGATCAACCAGATGCTCAGCGACCTCAACAGAGTGGACTTTGCTAACGTGCAGGTCTGTCTCTCTCATCACACCCCGTCCTTTGACTTCCTGTCTCGGGTTCATGGATATGTTCAGCTCACTCTGCGTGTGTTTGTTTGTCACAGGAGCAGGCGTCCTGGGTGTGCCAGTGTGACGAGAGCGTCGTCCAGCGTTTGGAGCAGGACTTTAAGGTGACCCTGCAGCAGCAGAGCTCTCTGGATCAGTGGGCCGCCTGGCTGGATAACGTCGTCAACCAGGTGCTGAAGCCCTATGAGGGCAGTACCAGCTTCCCCCGCGCCGCACGCCAGTTCCTGCTCAAGTGGTCCTTCTACAGGTACAAGGCTCTCTAGAAGTACTCTTTTTACTCGAATAGTGCAGTATTTCCAATGCATTAATTTCAGATCAATTTGACTGGGCCTCTTAAGTGATCTTCTGAAGAGAGCTGATTGAAAGCAGCCCTTGGATCTGTGTCTGGTTGTGGTTTTGTTGTGGTAGTTTGTAATGAAACTCTCTGTTGCCCTGGTTTCAGCTCCATGGTGATCAGAGATCTGACTCTGCGCTCGGCCGCCAGCTTCGGCTCCTTCCACCTCATCCGCCTGCTCTACGATGAGTACATGTTCTATTTGGTGGAACACCGTGTCGCCATGGCAACCGGAGAGACGCCCATCGCTGTCATGGGGGAGGTGAGGAGAGCCGATGTTTCCGAATCTGACCGCTTGTGTTTCGAGTTGAGCACATGCAGGTGTTTCTTTTGGCTCCGCGGCTCTTTATGAAAACAAAATATTGCGGGTGTGAAAAGTGTTTTCAAGGAGTTTATTTAAATAACAGTGTCCAAGAGCATATATACATGCGTCAGCAGAATTTTTTTCTGAAATGGGGAAGGGTAAAATGGCAGAATACTTTTGCTGAGGCTATTTTTCCAACTAGCATTAAACATACTAAATGCAGAGAATTATATTATTATCAATAGATTTTTTTTCACTGTATACATAGATAATAAATATTATAATTTTATCAATCTATCCATCCATATATGCATCCATCGGTCTACACAATTAATCTAATAATATAAATAATAATTATGATATATTAATTATATCCACGATATTAATATAAAAACTTTCAATGTCATGATTATTATCATGTGATATTAAATTATGATTTAATGTTTATATTATATAATTATGATTGTTTATTATTATTAAATTAATGAGTAATAATTATATAATTAATGATATAGTAATATTTATATCCACCCATCTGTGAATGAATAAGGTATTTCTACATTAATCTATACATTAATATCAATTATATTTGTTATATTAATTACATCCACCCATCATATTAATAATATAAAATTTTAGCAATGTAATATTAAATTATCATAGCATTTAATATTAAATTGATTTAATATCTATATTGTTATTATATCTAACTATTTACACATTAATAATTAATGTGAACTTAACATTTTCTCTCTCTCTCTCTATATATATATATATATATAATCTTTATTGATTATTTTTATATAATTAATAAAAAAATTCTGCTCACAAGTGATATTTACCTTACACTTTTGTGGTTCTTTTGAAGAAGTACACTAACTTTTGGTAAACATTTGTTAGTGGTAAAATTGTTGGTTGTGTAAACAAATCATTTTCAAACAATATTGAATTGATTTAACATTAGTTTAATTTTTGTTCAGTATTTACAGTTAATAGTTTCTAAAATGTAATTAAATATGAAAATCCAGCATAAAAATATGAGGTGTGGTTTTTAAATTTGTTGTGGCCTTTACATTTTCAGTTCAGTGACCTCAGTTCCATGATGCCATCACTCATGGAGAAAGGTAACGAATGTGATGCCAACCCAAACTAAGTTTCTGTCTCATTTCAAAGGTTCCTCTGCTCTGTATCCAACCTCCTTCTCTCTCCTCTTCTCCCAGATGCCTCATTCTCAGATGATCTGGCCAGCGACGGAGACATGTCGAGCATGAGCGAGCCGGCGGTGAAGAGCGAGCGAATCGAGATCAGTCCCTCCCTGCAGGAGATCTAAGAGCAGGACCACCTCAAACGGCTGCCGGTGGCCAAGAGAACACTTATCTGTGAGGTCTTTCTGTATCTTGAGGGTACGTAGGTCTGTTTAGGGTCAGTGTGTGTCTCCCTCCCACCTTTAGGTTTTCTGCGACTGTGAAACAAGAACGTGCTGGTTTTGTGATGATTTTTTTTGTTTTTTTTCATGTGCCATAGTCTTCTTTCAGTGCCTTAGATGAGAAAAGAAACACTAGAGCAGAACTGTCTCTCTTTCTCTTTGATTTTCTCTCGTTCCCTCAGCCGTGCCTCTAACCATCTAAGAGCAGGACCACCTCAAACGGCTGCCGGTGGCCAAGAGAACACTTATCTGTGAGGTCTTTCTGTATCTTGAGGGTACGTAGGTCTGTTTAGGGTCAGTGTGTGTCTCCCTCCCACCTTTAGGTTTTCTGCGACTGTGAAACAAGAACGTGCTGGTTTTGTGATGATTTTTTGTTTTTTTTCATGTGCCATAGTCTTCTTTCAGTGCCTTAGATGAGAAAAGAAACACTAGAGCAGAACTGTCTCTCTTTCTCTTTGATTTTCTCTCGTTCCCTCAGCCGTGCCTCTAACCGCAGGATGAATGTATCGTCTCAGAACCTCAGATGTCTAAAGCACCTTTTAAAGATGGTCACATTTTAGACTTTCTGCCTCGGCCGTTTCCTCAGGCGTAGATGCAACCTGCTGGCCCCAAAGCTGCCCGCTCGTCGACCCCAACCTGCTGCACATGCAAAGCCGTTTTGTAGATAAACCCCAGCCATATGAGATGCCTAGTCTACACTTCAACCGTTTTTAGTTGTAACGAATGAATGTCTAACTTTTATTACGTTTTATAAAAATCACTATAAGAGATTATTCGACTGGGTTTGTTGCCCTGAAAGCGGCCCGTTCTCGTTCGAAAGCTTCGGGATGTACATACACCTACTGTATTGAAGGAGATTGCTCCGTTTTAGATGAACCCATCAAAACTGGTTTGTGAAACTTTTTGGTCTAGTTTTGTAGTTACTTGACGAGTTCTTAGTTGTTTGCAGTGGTTAGAAAGAGCCTACTTGACTTGATATATTGAACGTACCTGTGTGTGAGCGTGCGTCTGTACACAAGGCCTTCTGAAGTAACTGGAAGTGAGTGTACACTCAACAGGTTTTGTGAATAGTTCTTGTCGTTTTTATTCAAAACGAACATACAAGCTTTTTTTTTTTTTTTTAAAGAACGCTTAAAAGAACTCCCTTTACATATTTAAGTAGATATTGTGTAAATGTTAATGCAAAAAATGTAAAAGCGACATTTTCTAGAAGTAGAAAACCCAAAATAGACCCGTTTAGTAACAGAATATGCAGCCTCTTACAGATCCGCCTCATCACCTGGTGCTGTACACGCTTGTAATGGAAACGATGTGCTGACATAAAGCTGGAAATTCTTTCGTTTTCAGGATCCGGTTGTAATTGTTTTTGACGATGTTGTGCTGAAGCCGGTCGGGATCTTTACTGGTGCCTGGTAGCGGCCCGTAATGGGTCCCTACATGTCCCTCTCTGCTATTTACAAAGAGAAACTTCATTTCTGCTAGCTTTGTGTTTGTTCTGAGAAGTGATTGGCGGCTGTGTTCTCACTGTGGTTGGTTGTGACTTTAACGCCTGTCATGGTTCTTTGCCTGTTGTGTGCTTTCGGGAAGGGAATTTCAATTTTTTTTAAGGCTGTTTTAAAGCTTCTTGCTATGGATTATTTTTATGGAGGTAAATGCAATTCTTCTCACTACTATATCGATACCTTATTTTTGTGTCTTTAAAAAAATTCTTTATTTAACCTCAACCGCTTAGTTCGACTGTATTTTGTACTGGTAAAAAGTGTAATAAATTTGTGTAAACCACTTGCTTGTTGTGTAATGACTGACACAAATAGACTCCTTTTCCATATTAAACCTTTCTTGAATACTCGACATACATACATTCTGTAAATATCAGAACTTTATATCCATTATATATCTTCATACTTACTCCTTCACAGATTAGCACTAAAAATGAAAAGAAATGTACATCCAGTTCTTCAAACTTGAAATAAACGTGTGGCTTGCGCACTGAACAAACAATTCTATACAACTAAAAGTAGAGGCTGGTTGTGGTCCCTAATTCCAGGGCATACTTGTCCTAGAGCAATGCATCATGGGTATTAGGGATTTCCCACATCACACTGTATATACAATATGATCTCTCCTCTTCAGGCCTGTAGCATGTGGACAGTTCCAGCAGCCCAGGGGGGTTCAAAAGTGCAAACGTTGTGCCTCTGGTAGTGAAGCGGTCACCATCACTGCTCACAAAGAACAGCCAGCCATGTATTTTCCTGTAAAACAATACAGATGAACATTAGCGCTGTGACATCATGCTGTTATTATATCTGTCTTGCGTTACTATTTCAAGAAAACAGCAAAAATGGGTCAATTTTAAAATATCTAAACGTCATAACTCTAACAAATGAGTTTGATATTAATCTTGTTTTCATAGATTAAAAAGCAAATATCATACCTTTTAGCCAAGTTTTATATAGTATACATTTTAGATATATTTTTCTAGATTTTTTTTAGTTCCAGCAGCCCAGGGGGGTTCAAAAGTGCAAACGTTGTGCCTCTGGTAGTGAAGCGGTCACCATCACTGCTCACAAAGAACAGCCAGCCATGTATTTTCCTGTAAAACAATACAGATGAACATTAGCGCTGTGTGTGACATCATGCTGTTATTATCTCTGTCTTGCGTTACTATTTCAAGAAAACAGCAAAAATGGGTCAATTTTAAAATATCTAAACGTCATAACTCTAACAAATGAGTTTGATATTAATCTTGTTTTCATAGATTAAAAAGCAAATATCATACCTTTTAGCCAAGTTTTATATAGTATACATTTTAGATATATTTTTCTAGATTTCTTTTTATTTTTATAGAAAAGCAGTGATGGTTATGACTAAACATTTATTTTATTTCAAGTAATAAAATAGTTTTCAACTAAAATAATAAACGTATTCATTATATATATATATATATACACACACACACACACACACTTCAGCTAGAAACATTTTAATTTAGTTTAACTTGATATACTAGAATATCTAAAACTGAAATAAAAATAAATACTATTTATACACACACTACAAAAAATTAAAATGAAAACTAAAAAAAGTACAAATAAAAACTAATAGTATCTCAATGATACTAAATTGACAATTAGGTTAATGTCAAGCTGAACAGTCGTATTTCAAAAATAGATCAATTTGATCAGAAACCTATATAATCCTCTTCCTGCTGATTTTTTTTTGCAATTTACACTTGAATGGCTAAATATTTACATCTATGCATTTTACAGATGCTTTTATTCAAAGTGACACTGCATTCAAAACATATTTTATAAGTGCATGCATTCACTGGGACATGAAATGTACCATTTGAGGTATGGGGAAAAAACATGTTATGTACGTACGTTATGCTATAAAATACATTTTAGAAAAGCTTAGCTTGTTGTGCTACGGTGGCACTAACATGGACAAATAAAATAAACTTCAAACTGCAGGAGGGAGCGAAACCATATCTTTACTTGGATATCATAAAAACTTTTTTGAATTAGACTAGAAAGCAACCATCTACAGAACATCCTAGCAACCACCTGACAACAAGATATGCGACTGAAGAAACACTTCTGAAATGAGCTGCTTATGAGGGACAAAAAGTAGGTCTGGCCCCCACCTGTGGCAAACCTCTTCTTCACCAGCGACATGCGGTAGCGGCTGCCCACCAGCTCCACGTCCAGGCCTGAGAGAGACGCCCCCGATCCCACAAACTGCACAGCCAGGCTCGGGGGAGGACCGCGGGGCACCTCCAGGCACTGCCAACTGGCACACAGCGTGCCAGACCCTGAGACCCAGAAACACACACACACACACACACACACATTCACAGAGTCAGCATCAGCTCCTGGGTTCACGTCACATATGTGCAAGAGCCTTTTGAAATAAAAGAGCATCTTAGAATATCCTAATGGTGGCCATATTTTAATAAATATGTTGCTTCCAAAATGTTCACAGCACTCCCATGATGCTCTGTCTGATCATATGTATTCATAAGTTTGTTTCTTAGCCTCTAGCTCTGAGCAGCCTCTCTTCCGCCCACTTCCTCTGAAAGTGTCAGAACGGTGATCTAAACTCAGATGTACCAATGCTAAACTATATATAGTGCACTGCTTTTTTTGTTTTTTTTTCTCCAAGAAAATCAATACTCGTTAGATATTTTTTTAGTTCCTCCATTTTATATCACTGTTGTTTGAAAAGTTCTAAGATGAAACTTCTAAACTGAAAATTCTGTCATTATTTACTCATCATTTCCAGCCCATATGCTTTTTTGGTGGAACTCTAAAGAATCCCTATTTTTTTAATTCATGAAACAAATTGAATTACAACTCTGTATGATGCAATTCAATCAAATACAGCACAGGTTAGACTTTATGGAAAAAGAACCAAAGGTGTCTGTTGTTATAGTTGGCATTAATTGATTGTCTTGGGAGTGAGGATAAATTTAACTTTTAATTTAGGTCCTTTAAATGAAGGTCTCTTTAGGACAATTAGGGTTGTTATTGCCAAAATAAAACTATTTAAAAAAAAAATCAACTTAAAATCTGAAGCTGAAATTAAATAAAATAAAAATGAGATGAAAATTTTTTTTACTAAAATTACTGAAACTAAAAGAAACATAAAACAAAGACTATAAAATTTCAGAATTCTAGCAATATTAATGAATACTATATTAGTATATACACAATAATAATACATAATAACACTGCTTAGTATACAGTGCATAAGCTGTACAGAGCACGTTTTTGTTGTTAGCTTGGCTGAATGACATGAAAATTCTTACGAATTCTCGTTTTGTGGAATAAATAATGCTATTAATATTTGGAATGACATGAGGGTGGGTGGAAAAAATCCCTTTAAACATGAATCATGAATAAGCGATAAAAAAGAAAGGTGAGGATGAACAGGTGGTGGTAGCACTGACCTTTGCTGTGATTTGTTGGAGAGAGGTTGGACAATTTCCATAGGAGTCGTCTTTCCTCTGTGTTCCTAAATAAAACAGGTTCTCTTTATCTATAAGCTCTTACATCACATATTCACTTCATTTTCTTCCCAGTACTGTATTATTAATGTAAGTGATTCACACACACTGCTTCTCACCAGGAAGCGGGCGGCTGGCACTGCAGGTCGGTGGCGGTGTGATCGAGGGGCAGCAGCGCTTGTACGGAGGTCAGCTGGGTGGCGGGGGCGGTTGCGGGACAGCAGTGGTAATCCAGAGACACACGGGTCACTGTTCCACTGCGCTGACACTCGGCCGACAGCAGGAGGGGCGCACGACCCGGATCCTGAGAGGACGCCTAGGACAGAGTTCATTCGAATGCTCAGATGAACATTTTCTAAGATGTCATCCGTAAAAGGAATATTCTGAGTTCAATGTAAATTAAGCCCAGTCAACAGAAAAGAATAAGAAAATATCATTTAGACTTCATTTAGTCCAATTTATTTCCAGGGCACTAATAATGGAAGAAATTAGGGCCAATTTAGGGAGGATTTAAAAGCAGAAATGTGAAGCTTCTAATTTTATACAAGCATGCACAGTGTTTATACCATTTTATACAATGTAAAAAATTTTATACAAGCACTTCTACACTTTAGGGTTGGTAAGATTGTTAATGTTTTTGAGGTTGAAGTCTCTTATGCTCACGAAGGCTGCATTTATTTGATCAAAATACAGTAAAAATGACAATATTGTGAGTTTTAACTTTTTTTTAACAATGTAAGTCTTTGAGATCAATTTCATATGGAAGCCCGTTTCCGCCACTGAATAAAAAATAAAACAAGGTAATTGCGACTTTAGTAGGTAGTTGCGAGTTCATATCTCGCAATTGTGAGTTCATATCTCGCAATTATGACTTTATTTCTCAGAATTGCGAGATATAAACTTGCAATTCCGAGAAAAAAAAAAGTCAGAATTGCGAGTTTATATCTCTATTCTGACATTATAACTCGCAATTTTGACTTTTTAACTCGCAATTGTGAGTTATAGTCAGAATTGCGAGTTAATTTCACACAATTCTGAGAAAAAAAGTCAGAATTGTGAGATAAAAATTCGCAATTACCTTGTTTTATTTTTTATTCAGTGGCGGAAACAGGCTTCCATAATTTAATGCATCCTTGCTGAATAAAAGTATTAATTGCTGAAAAGAAGAAGAAAAAAATCTTAGTAAACCCAAACTTTGGAACAACAGTTTACACTAATTCTTCAGTTACTTCAACATTATTTGAGCTGTAAAGCGGTTTAAATAATCATTTTTATAGTCATTTAGGGTGCTATAGCAAAAAACATGATTGACTAAAACTTTGCAAAGAAATGGTATGCGAGCACTACTAAAACAATATTTAACATTTACAGATTGCCCTCAATCACAGTAACCAAGGTTTTTGATTTTTTTTTTAGGGCCAAGGAGTGAAAATGAATTTTGGTGGCATGTTTTATTCCATGTAGTACTGAACATATACAATTCTTTTATGTACCATTAAAGCGGGTCATATTGTAATTCAAGCACTCATTAGGTTTGTGTTGACTGACCTGGTATTTCAGAAGAGCCACATTGTAATAGGAGGCCTGCGGGTTGAGCTCTGCCTCTCTCTGCAGGTGGAGTGTCAAGGCCGGCATGTTGAACCAGAAATCCTTGGTGTCCGGGTCACTCTGTGACGGGTCGCTGCAGGTACAAAGACCAAAGATGCTGTCCATAGAGCTTGTATTGAGCCCAGTCCAGGTCAGGATTAGTGTTCAAGAGCATCATACCTGTAGAGTAACTTCTGGTTGGGTAAGAAGTGGTCCACTCGAGAGATGTTCACCAATCTGAAGCTTAATACTGGTGCGTTGGGGTTGGTGGTGAAAATGCGAATGATGCCAGCAGGAAAGGACATAGTGAGGTCGCCAGTGATCTTAACCAGACAGCTGAAACACAGACACGCAGCAAATCACTTTAAGTTGGAGCTACAGTGTGATAAAAGACTCTGTCCTCCAGATGAGGTGAAAGAAGCTCAGACGGACCGGTTGTGTTCTCCTCCTTTGAAGTAGGCGTTGATGTACTCTGTGATGGCCGCGGCTACAGGCCAAGACTCCTGAGTGCTCAGAGAAATGGGACTGGGCCCTCGAGACAAACCTGCAGGATCACAATTCAACATTATGATTAGAAACGTCCAAAAACATTTTTAAAACTATTTTCATAAAACTGCTAATTAAGACAAAAACTTGTGACGTATTACACTTCAAA